GTTCGTGTTCGTTCGGTTCGTTTACAGCCCTATCTACACCCACTCAACTTATTTTCATAAGTAGAATTTTTTTTTTGGCTGTATGAAAGGTACACCCGCTAAATTTTGAAGAGTGCTCTAAGATATTAGATAATACAGGAAACATTAACGAAGAAACCGAAAAAAACCCCCTTGAAATCATTCAAAACATAAAAAAAGTTTCTCGAAATTAACCAAAAAACTTTAAAAAAATCTTTCAAAACAGTAGAGTTCAACTAAATGCATTGAACAATTCTATCGTCTTTTGATTCAATTTAAAAGTGCACCTGCTTAACAAAAATCGAAATTCTGGATATAAACGGAAAATGGAAATAGAACGGCGAGGGGATTATTTTAGAAACATAGAGCATAGAAGTCGAGTTCGAAATGTTTGCAAGCCACCTAAAACCCCATGAAAGTTAAGATTTTGAACCTTTTTCATCAATTCAGTTTTATTTCCAGAAATCAAGAACATGCGACGAATCTCTCCAAGAGAGTTGATCTCATTTTACTACACATATGGAGGATCAAAAATATCCCTGCAACCATCGACCCACTTCAGTCCTACTTTTGTAGCACCATTCACATCGAAATCCCAATTTCTCCATGATATATCGAAACCCCATGTTTCTCCAGAGAAGGATGATCGATGGTTAGGGCTCATTCGCCTCGAAAACAAGTCTGGAGCCACTCCCAATGATCAACCCTACGATGAGTTTTCAGGTGATGTCGAGAAAGTCTACAGGATCTTAAGAAAATTCCACTCACGGATTCCAAAACTGGAACTCGCATTACAAGAATCCGGTGTTTTCGTTCGCCCAGGTTTAACAGAACGTGTATTGAACCGTTGCGGTGATGCTGGGAACTTGGGATACAGGTTCTTCGTTTGGGCATCAAAACAACCCGATTACAGACACACCCATGACGTATACAAATCGATGATTAGAATTTTAGGGAAAATGAGGCAATTTGGTGCGGTTTGGGCTCTTATTGAAGAAATGAGGAAAGAAAACCCACAACTTATAACACCCCAAGTGTTTGTTGTATTGATGAGAAGGTTTGCTTCAGCTAGAATGGTGAATAAAGCAGTCCAGGTGTTAGACGAAATGCCTAAGTATGGATGTGAGCCTGATGAGTATGTATTTGGGTGTTTATTAGATGCATTATGTAAAAATGGCAGTGTTAAAGAAGCTGCATTACTTTTTGAGGATATGAGAGTGAGGTTTACACCCACAATTATGCATTTCACTTCATTGTTGTATGGTTGGTGTAAAGAAGGTAAACTAATGGAGGCCAAATTCGTTTTGGTGCAGATGAGAGAAGCCGGTTTTGAGCCTGATATCGTTGTTTACAACAATTTGCTTAATGGGTATGCCGTGGCCGGAAAGATGGTGGATGCATTTGATCTTTTGCAAGAAATGAGACGAAAAGGGTGTGATCCGAATGCGATTTCGTTCACTGTTTTGATCCAAGCACTTTGCTGTCAGGAGAAGATGGAGACTGCGATGCAGGTTTTCTTGGACATGGAGAGGAGTGGATGCGAGCCGGATGTTGTTACTTATACGACATTAATAAGCGGTTTTTGTAAAAGGGGAAAGACCGAAAAGGGTTATGAGCTATTGGATCATATGATACAAAAAGGGCATACTCCAAATCAGACCACTTATTTGCATATTATGAATTCACATGAAAAGAAAGATGAATTGGAGGAATGTTTAGAACTTGTGAACCAGATGAAGAAGATTGGTTGTTTTCCAGATGTTAATATTTACAATACTCTTATCCGGTTAGCATTTAAGTTAGGGGAGGTTAAAGAAGGGGTTCGAGTCTGGAACCAGATGGAATCGGAAGGGATTGGTCCTGGAATCGACAATTTTGTGAATATGATTCACGGGCTTATCGATCAAGAATGTTTAGTTGAAGCTTGTGAGTACTTTAAAGAAATGGTGGGAAGAGGTCTTCTTTCGGCTTTTCAGTATGGTCTTTTGAAAGATCTCCTGAACTCGCTTTTAAGAGGTGAAAAGCTCGAATTGAGTAAAGATTTATGGAGTTGTATCGTGAATAAAGGGTGTAAGCTTAACGTTTACGCTTGGACCATTTGGATTCACGCGCTTTTTGCCAAGGGACACGTGAAAGAGGCTTGTTCTTACTGTTTGGATATGATGGAAGCTGGTGTGATGCCACAACCTGATACTTTTGCGAAGCTCATGAAGGGTTTGAGAAAACTGTACAACCGACAGATTGCTGCGGAGATAACGGAGAAGGTGAGACAGATGGCTGCCGAGAGGAAAATAACGTTTAAAATGTATAAACGGCGTGGTGAAAGGGATTTGAAAGAGAAAGCCAAGGCCAAAAAGGATGGAAGGAAAACAAGGGCTCGTAGACGTCAATGGGGCCGTGCTAAAGCTGGTAGTATTTGATTTCCTGAGGATACGTAGAACACTTTGAATCTCTCTATTAAAAGAGCTTTGTAAAGCTCTGTAAGGAGGTTTCTATATATATATATATATATATATTTCAGTTGCAAACCTATTTTCTGTTGTAAATTGGGGGACAAAGGAGAGCATGACACGTGTCCCATTTGTTCCCATTCATCATTAACAATGAACATCAGTTTGTCACAACATTCATGATAAATGATACACCATTCATGATGAATATCCTATGAATATCTGTGACACGTGACACGCTCTCTTTTGTTTCCCGGTTCATACATGAACTTAAGTTTGCAATTGAATGTGCCTCTATATATATACAGGTTTGATGGTTCGTGTCTAGGTGATGTTAGACTCCAACAGATGAAATTGTTACCGAGTTAATTTATATGGTTTCAATAGAATGTTTCATTTAGAATATGTGCAACTGCGTAACATAAGATCCACAAATCCTCTGTTGTATCTTGTTTCTCATAGCAATTAGTTCAAGAAATTGGATATGTAACACTCTTGAATGCATAAAAATTGTATAAAAACCTATGACCAAACAAAACAGACCCAGTAAATTCCACTTTGGATATAGAGTATTTTGAGTGGAGGACTGAGATATACGTATGATATGTCCCCACATCTAGTCCGTTGTTCTAGTCTTCCTGATGGATAATTATCGACTTGATAGCAATTATACGAGTGGGGACAAATAGAACAATTGGCCAATTCACATGTGGGAAAGTGCACCAACTTCGAACAACCATAACTTTTGATCGAATGAAGTTACTAAACCGGCGACTCGTGAAAATTTTAACCAACAACAGTACTATATCTATATAGACGAGAAATTGAAAAAAAAAACCTAGAGAGAATTAGAGAACAAAGAGATGCCCTCCTCTTCTGCTATGGATTCCATAACATCAATGATATGAATTGAGGTGGAAAACTTGGCATCTTGGTCTGTAAGAGAACTCAGAAGCGGCCTGCTCGAATTTCACGGCTGCTGCTTCATTTTCTTCGAGACTTGTCTGAACAAAGAACCGAGCCCACCAAGTCGTACTCCGCATTTTAGCCTTCACAAAAACCAAGTATTTGATTCGTCATTTATAGAGTGAAATGTGGTATAGTAAGTCAGACCAAAGATGACCGAGTGTTAGAATATTAGAAATCCCATTAAATTACTCTCCAAAAGAGATCTTGGGGAGAGAAGGGAGGTTCTTACATATATTGAGAAGAAATGATCCAAAATCTAACCAATATGGGACTCTTAACACACCCCCTTCAATGGAAGTCTAGCTGGCGTGGGACTATAACACCCCCCTCCCAAATGGAGGCTAAACAGATATAAATTGTTCTAGAGCTTCAAGTCCCTAGAGAAGTAGCAGATTTTGGCTCTGATACCATGTTAGAATACGTGGAATCCCATTAGTTTACTTTCCAAAAAAGCTTTTGAGGAGAGAAAGGAGGTTCCAACTTACATTTAGTATAAATGGTCTAGGACTAGCTAACGTGAGACTATAACACTGAGGTGTAGTTTTGAAAGCGAAAAGTGTTCTTGGTGGTAGATAACGACTTACTGGACGTCCAAATTTTGGTTGTTGTTGTTGTTGAAATTTAGCTCTAGAATGAACAGGATAACCTGAAACAGGGAAGAATTACAGTCAAGATGGTAGGCAATAAGGTAAAAGACATTAAAAATCTTCTTGTAGAAAGTTACCAGTGAATATAACAAGATTTTCTGCAGATAATCTTGCTAAATCTGGAAGGGTTTTGTTGAGGTATTTGGGAGATAGGTAGTCAACTGCATCGGAAACTATTACTAGAGAAAACGACTTAGCCCTATACGGCAAAGGGAACTTGATGTCAGCAACACGAACAAGACCCTTATGCACAAGCCGTCTGCAACTTAAATCGGCATCTTCTATGTCATACGGTTCCACACCCCATGCTTCCGTTCCCGCTTCTTTTTTTAATCGCGAGACTACCGAGCAAGTATCGGGTCCTACGTGCAATACTTTATTCATGCTCTCGCCGTATGTTTTCATTAACACAGGTATTGCTTTCTGAACGTCGAATGTGCAACCAAAGTCGCCTGAAATGGAATAATGAAGATCCAGAAAGATATTTCTTCCGAAACCCTTGTGAGATAGAATTCACTACTAGAAATCTTGGAATGCCCAAAAGTAGAGAATTTGCTAAAATCCTAGTAAAGACTTTACCTTCAATCTTGCTAACTTCATTATGGTCTTTAGAGATACCTGCAATCCAAGAGCAAGTGTTGAGAAGCTAAATATCTGTTGGAGTCCCACGGTCAATTAGACACGTACCATCAAACATGTATATAATATATGTATGTATACACAACCAACAACCAAAAACTTGTTGTCTCATGTTTGGATGATACGGCATTTACAAACGAATTGGTAAATTACTAAAATACCCATGCTACTACTTCGCTCTAGTATGTCTAGTCCAGTCCACATATGGAGAGATTCAAAGGGTTCCACAGTATCTAGTTTTGTAAAATCTACTAGGAATAGTACCTGAGCCCCTGTAAAAGTAGGCAATAAAAAGAAAGGTTCCCTGTGTTGCAGGAATAAACACAAATCAGAATCCAAAGTTGCAGCATGAATGGAGATGAACAATGTAAGCCAAAATAGATAGAAATGAATGGTGGTCTTACTAGTAATATGAGAGCAATGGATAATAGAGGAGATGTACGTGATTTGGAATGAAAGATTCCTCCTAATGGCACACTACCATTTCCTGTAAATCGTCTTGTAAGATTACCTGGCCTTCTTGACATTTCTCTCTCTCTCTAGACAATGAAATAGATTTCTTCAAAGAATCAGCACGATTTCATTAGAAATCCAGTGGATGGATGGCAAGATTGATTGATTTCAGATACAGATTTGGAGCTGTTCTTGGAGGAATGAAGAGGGTTTCGTTAGAAATGCAATAATGTCAGATTTGAAATGGTGGAAACCCCATGAAAATAGTGATGCATTCTTGTGATTGCTTGAAATGTACGACATCTAGAAAGAGAAAATGATCGGGTTTTAACTTTGAAAACGGGTCGTGGGGGTAATGGTAATAGGTGTCGGCGATGTTGGTCCTAATTACAGGGATCAGTATCCGTTACTGCTGCTGCTACTACTACTATTCTCTCCCTCACCCCCATTTATTGCTCTTTTTCTTTGACTGTAAATGTAATTAGAAGAAACTATTTGATTCTTGAGATCAATATTTTGGATTTATTCCGTTTGAACACGTGGAACTTGTAAGATTACTTTTTAAAAGAGAAAAAGAAAGATTTTAACGTATATTTGCAACAAATGGTCTAAGTCTTAGGGGTTGTTTGGCAGTTGTTAAATGGTTTGGTGCAGAATGATAAAGTGGTCAAAATGATTAAGAGACTTTCATGATATAATGCAAAATGAAACATAATTGTTCAGTTATTGTTTACAATGGAATTAGGGTGTTGAATGGTTAAGGGAAACCCATGATACAAAATCATTCAGAGGGTTTTAGAACCATCAAAAAACAACAAAAAAATTTGCCAAACAAGATTTATCTCTTAACAATTCAAATATTGTCTCTTAATAAAATTATTAAGAGGTAAACAAACAACTCCTTAATCGATATGGACAAATGATGTATTTGTAACAAAAGCAATGAGCAAAAAGGTAATTTGAGAGAATAGAATGATTCGCAAAAAACAAGATATTAAAGAGGAAACTAATGTAATACCGAATGAAATGGCAAAAATGTTCAACGGGTTTGTCCTTTAACTGGTCCCAACCGGTCCCTATCTTTATGGTACCAAAGTTTGAGGTGATCACCTTGTAATTAGTGTCTAAGGGTGCTTTGGTACCTGGACATGACAAGACATAATATGGTAGAATTGAATATGACAGGATATGACAGTTGTTTAGTGTTTAGTAAGACATGATTGGACATGACCGGATTGGTAAATGGTAGATTTATTTTTAATGAGTTGTTTATAACTTTCATATATTTTAATAATTTATGTAATTTATTAAGTTATAATAAAATAAATATTTTTTTATAACCAAATATATCATTAGAAATTTTTTGTCAAGACGATTAAAATGACACCAAAACATGAAGTTTACCGATACATACTCATTCTCTACCTTAATGCCCATTGTAGACATGGTTGATAAAAAAGATTAAAAGATAAATTTTATACATGTTTAGACTAAAAGATAGTCTGATATTTATTCGGCATAGAAGGAGGTACCATGCATCCATCAAATAGAATTGACTTCTATGGTTTTATTGTTGTATGGGTTTAAAGTGGGCTTCTGAAACTACTTACCGGTTGTTGTCTGACATTATTTCGCTACTTCTTTCGTTGCAACTTTTTGCTAGGTAAAAAAACTCAAAAAAGAAAAGCAAACATTGATGAAAAAACATTTTATATATTATAATAAAATGACCTCAAACTATAAGTATTGATCAGACACATACCTTTTGGCGAACTAAGTTAAATTGATATCATTTAGATGATCTACCGATATGTACAATGTGGTTCATCTACTTGTAGATGACAGAAAAACTAACATCCTTAGCAAATATAAGTGAGTATTTCTCTTCTCATTCATAATAGACTCCTTACAAAAATAATAGAGAGTAAGATTAAGAATTATAAATATTAGAAAATAATTTTCAAGCCCAATGCTAGAGAAGGAAAAAACCGCAATAGATCAATCAACATCGATATCTTGAAAACCATATGAAAGATTACCAATCTGAAAAAAATCATAACTCATCTTTCTTGATATACTCTTCTAGCATCAATGCAAACATATTATAACATAACGTTTATCAAGTTCATGGATAAACAAACCCAAGTATACGTATTTTTTTTTTTATGTTCTACATATGTTTAAAAAAATGTTATCTTATTTCATTAATGATTCATATATTAATGATTCATATGTCACTATATCCACACATAAAAAAATGATTCATATGCTTGCATAACTCCAATTTTAGTGGTGAATGTCTCCAACTAAAAGACGAAATATATACTTACATCAACAAAAACCCATATCATATTTGTCTTCTTAAATGACGTCTCAAATCAACAAAAATGCAAATCACCTCCACAAAAACTGAATATAGAGGAGGAATTAAGAGATTAAAAGAGATTATTATGCTTAAACAATGTTACCTTATTTCATCAAAGGATTCATATGTGTTTATCCACAAAAAAAAAAAATCATATGCCTACATAATTCCAACTTTAGTGTGAATGTCTCCGACTAAAAGACGAAATACTATACTTACATAAGTAAAAACCCATACCATGATTTGTTTTATTGAATGACGCATCAAATCAACAAAAATGCAAATCGCCTCCATAAAATTATAACTGAATTGGGAGGAATAATTGAGAGCTTAGTAGAGAGATTACCATAGAGGTATAACATGAAGAAAAGATGAAAATTTTTAATCGAATAGAGAGAAATAATGAGAGCTAAAAGGGCAATTATTAGAAAAAACATGAGTAGGTTGAAGTAACCTAATTAAATGATCTTAAATATGAATATCAAAAATCAAAAGTAAATATTGAGGTGGGAGAAGCTTGAGAAAAATGAGAAAAAATAAAATAAAACACTTTCTAGCTTTGAGAAGAGGCCACATCATTGCACATGGTTTCTTCTTTTATATATACTAGAAGCGTACTCGCGCAATGCAGCGAGATACATCGTGATTTTAATATTTCATTTTATTCTTTATCTCAGTCGATTTTATAATATGGCTTTATGTAATTTTGAGAAAGCGATGATGTTTTTATTTTTGAATAAAATATATGTTTAAAGATATCATAAAAATTTGACAAAAATATATCGATATTAGTATCAAATTAACTATTTGAAATTCCTCATTTTTTGTGTAATTTTTTAATTCAATTT